TACTTCACAAAATCATGCTCAGGGCCAATAAAATTTATAAAAACAACATTCTAATCAAAATCAATAAAAATAGCCGCTATTCTAATTTTTCCGGCCCACAAACACCCAAATAACAAAATCGCAAAGAAGAAACTAAAATCATTGTTAAAATGTACGTCGCCACCATCATCAGCATCATCATCATCATCGTCGCGTCGTCTACCGGTCCGCCGGTTCTATGTGACTATATTTGGGGCGCCTGAATTAACGCTATGGTTTATGGGCTTTAGGTCGCAAATTGTTGTTGAATTTATGCATCCATTACCACGTGCATTTTAGAGTTTTGGAACAATGTGAAACTAGGACCTGCATAAATTGCCTGCTCGCTTTTCAAAAAATAAATTATTCTAATGTCCGTCAGCTGGAACGGAGCAACGACTTTCATATATATGCATATATTTTATATTAATTTGTACAATTGTGATTTTCCAATAATTAATGGTTAAACGTAACCAACCTTTTCAATTCAATTGTTATTTTCTATGAAAAAACAGTAATTTCCTTCGCTCGCTAGTGCATGGATATAATAAGTCACTACAGGGTGTTCCAGTTGGTTGTCCATCGAAAGTAGATTGGTAGATATCATCGCCTGCATAGGTACATATATTTTTCCAATTTGGAATTTGGTAGATAAAGCACATTTTCTCAACTCTAATACAAGTCGACCAGAATTTTGTTTAAACTATTCACTAAACTTCTGAAGAAAAACGTTTTGACCATAGGCATATAATAGGTCATTTGAGAGCATCATCATCTTATCTATGGGTCTTTTGATGGCGAACTAAGCCTATTATGAACCGACAGCCCCAACTACTCTCACATTGATTGCACACCTAGTCAGCGCCGTCAGCGGTCGAGGGTTGTTGCTGTATACAGGGTGTCCCAAAAAGATACCGACAAACTTTAAGGGGTAGTAGGGGACATCAAAACAAGCATTTTTGTTTATAAAAACATATGTCCACAAATGAGCCATTTGGGCTGTAGAGCAAAAAAACTGTTTGGTATCTAGTTTTATTCTTCGCAATAATTAAATCGTTGTTTACTTATTAATTTTGCTTTAATAGCAAATAAATTATGGTTTACAATAATTGTTCAACTCGCGAACTCTTTGGAATATTCCGGGAATGGCTTCTACATGGGTACAACTCGCCAGTATCCTTGCTATCAGATCTTCCTCACGAACAGGTGTTTCGTAGACTAAACTTTTCAGTCAATGACCCGACGGTGTAATCTTTTCATTGAAGTAAATGGTCAACATTTTGAACAATTATTGTAAACCATAATTTATTTGATAATAAGCAAAATTAATAAGTAAACAGTGATTTAATTATTGCGAAGAATAAAAGTATCAAACAGTTTTTTTGCTCTACAGCCCAAATGGCTCATTTGCGGACATATGTTTATATAAACAAAAATGCTTGTTTTGATGTCCCCTACTACCCCTTAAAGTTTGTCGGTATCTTTTTGGGACACCCTGTATATACAGGGTGTCCCACTAAGGTCGACGAGGTACGTTATTATGGAAACCATAGAGCTTACGGCATCGGGATTTTTTTTCTTCATCACTAAAGCGGCCAAGAGAAATTGATGGAAATTATTTTTAAGTTTCTAAGATGGCCGCTAGGGGGCGCAATCACGATGATATAACTAAAAATTCAAATGTGTCAAATCTATTTTTTCACCAGGTTCCCCCACCCTTATTAGTGAAGATACGAAAAAAGGCTAATAAGCAAACTGGCGCAAAAATTAACGAACTCTTGATTTCTGTTGTTAAAACAGTACCTTAATATAGCGATTTTTCGAGAAAATTTGAATTTTTAGTTATATCATCGTGATTGCGCCCCCTAGCGGCCATCTTAGAAACTTGAAAATATTTTCCATCAATTTCTCTTGGCCGATTTAGTGAAGAAAAAAAAAATCCCGATGCCGTAAGGCCTATGGTTTCCATAATAACGTACCTCGTCGACCTTAGTGGGACACCCTGTATATGCTCTTATCAGACGTTCTCGTTTCTTTCAACGATTCCGTTTGTCCGCGACACCTTTGTCGTTCGTGAAAATACCACTTTTCAAGTGAGCGTCTTCTTTTTAGTCGCGCAGTGCGACGTCAGGAAAACGTTTTAAGGACGGTTCTGATTCTGCCGTGTGCGCAGCGTTTTGAAAACACAAATTATACGTAATTGCGTCATAACGGCGTCATCAAAATGTTGCCTGGGAGAGTCAGAAAGAAAACCAATCAGAAACGTGTGCTAATGAAGACAAACATTTAAATAACCCTGATTCACCAATCACTAATATGCCATACGAAAAAGCGTCAGGTTTGGATTAGTCCAGTTGTCCAAACCAAATTGAACCAAATTGTTCAGCTTGATGAAGTGGCAAAATAGCTTGATATTTTTGTTTATTTACCTCGGAAATGAAACGGTTCCGGAGCCATCCATATACGTAGTAACTTTTTTTCTTATTTTGATGAGTTATATCCGCTCTTAAAGCTTGTAACACTATTTCTGAATCACCCTGTATGTATATAAAATTGTGCCCCTGTTGAAAAATGTTGTTTAAGGCATTCCCAATAATATAATTAAATTTCATCCATCAAATATTACAGGTAAACAATCCTTTTAAATATTGCGGGGTCCTTTCCGATGATGCCAATATGAGTATGATTACCTCGTTATTTAGTCGTCATGTTATTATAAACGGCGTAGGAGATAAAGTAAGAATCAAACGAGAAGAAGCCATTGACGTCAGCGCTGACAAAGAAGGCAGATTTCCTTTTTTCTGGGTCCCTCCCATTTAAAGTAAGACAAACCGACAAACGATAACGCGCGCGTGTGGCTTCTTCTCGTTTGATTTTTACTGTACCTATGTGTTGAAATTCAATATGCGTACCAAAATCGTGCATCAATAAAAAATCATGCATTCATGGGTCATCATTGAACGATTTTGTATACATTATATTAATAATAAACCACGTTAATAAATGGTCGACGGAATTGATGACACGTAAATTGATAGAAGAATACGAGAAATGGGGTTTGGAAATAAATCTATATACATATACACCGTGATTTACGTAGCCCGTGCATCGGAAGTTTTGCAGATAGCAGGTGGATTAGTAGAGAGCATTTTCTAATCCACCTGCAATATGATGCACGGGCTACGTAAATCACCCTGTATATAAATAAAACAAAATATATGACTATAGGAGGTGAACAACGAACTTCGAAAATGAATAACGGCAATAAATAAAACAAAATAACGAATAAAATGTTAAAAGCATAGTCACATAATAAATAGTTCAGAGGTCTGGCCACTATACACAGAACCGCAAACATGCTAGAAGGAACTGAAATTAACTCTTGGAGGACAGCGGCAGGCAGGTCAGAATTGGAAGGATAACAAATATGAGAATTACGGAGATCATGGACGTATAACACAGAATAGTATCTATATATCTATGGTGAGTGGGCTAAGGAGTACAAGTCAAAATTAGACAAATCAAGAAAAATGCTTTCGAAATATTAGACTTTAAAATGATCGGATTTTTTGTGACTGTTTCGGACGAATCGAATTTTTAACTTTACAAAGGTGTTTTTTTATTAGAGATAATCTATTTTTTTATTTTTTTTTTGTTCTGTTTTTTTTTATTACAAAAAAAATTGGACTTATACTTTTTTGACCAGACCTATAGATGACATATATTATTATGAAATAAGATAATATGACTTATAATATTTTGACCTGACCTAAGAAATGACTTATACTAGTTTTGCTCAACCCAAAATTTGATATTTGCAAAAACTGGAGGTACAAAATAAAAAAAAAAGATATACAGAAAACATTTATTTAAACATATAAGTATTACTTTTTATTTTAACATTTTAAACATAATTGAGCTTAAGTTTCATCATCATCGAACTCCTCAACATCTGGATATGTGACTTGTATGTCACCACTTGTGGGCAAATCAAGGTAAAACTGTCTAAAAGCAGGAGATATTAGAGGCAGTAGCTGTATTAAATCAGTTTTCTTTTCTTTAGATATTGGAGGCTTCTGTGAATAACACTTTTTAGGTGACAATAATGTTTCGCCCTTTCCATGTCTAGCAAAACAAATCTCTGCAAAATTTCCTTCATCAGTTAAGCTTTTCTTAAAAAATATTTTGCCAGGTTCTCTAGTATACCGAAGCCATTGAACATCATGCCATTTGAAGGAATCTCCAGAAGAATCTTTTTTTCGCAATACCAACTGACTTTTGTACAAATCGGCAAAGTTTAAAAATGCTTCGTGCGTTAATTCTTTGACCGAAAACTTTTGCTTTTTGCCGACACTCCTCACAAGTTGGTACCAATCATGAGGATGAGAAATTTCAGTTCCCAACTTTTTTTTCTGTTTTTCTATTAGAGCGTGGTCCACGTCACACTCCATATGGCTATGGCCACTAACCATAAATTTGTGATCGATCGTTTCCAAAGTCTTTTTACGTTGCATAACAGTTAGGAACATACCAGCGACATGCCAATTTTTATTTTGTCCGCCACATGTGTCTGAGTATAGAATAACATTTTTAATATTTTCTGGCAAAGACAATATTTGCAGAAAAAGACAAGTTGCAATTTGATTACCGCCGCATCCGCCTTCCCCTTCGTGCCACATAAAACAAGTGACTGCTCCATTTCCCATATCATGAAGAGTGAGATTGTATGTCCATAGCTGTCTTTTATAAAAAGCAACGCCTGAATTAACAAACGGTGTGGGGAGGCATTGTTGTAAGTCGAAGGAATAACATTTTGTGCATTCATTCTGTTTTGCAAATGTCTTGTCAGTATCCTTTTGCTTATAAACGTTGTCCGCTTCAATAAGGTGAACATCTATTTCGGTTTGTATAGTTTAGTTTTCGTTTTCTTCAGCTACTTTTAGTCTCATCTGTAGTATGTCGCATTTGTGACATGTGTCGACTTACGGTTTCTTAAAGGCCAGCTTTAGTTTATGAAATTCTTTCTCGTAAATGCGTCTGGAGACTTTTTCCTTTCTATTTTCACTATATAGTTCATACATCTTTTGAAGGGTCAAATAAGGAGCCAAATATTTTTTGTCGTTTGTTCTTCTAGTATAGTGGGATTGGTGCGCGGGAAATGATTTGATGTGGTCAATTGCTTCTTGAATTATCTTTCGACTGTGTTTATTTTTTGGTTCATGGCGACCTCTTTTGTCAGGTTGAACAATGCCAGATAATGATAATCGAGAATTGTCAAGTGCAAGGGTAATAAACATCTGTGTTTCATCTAGTATTTTCATAAAACAACCTCGGCATACTTTAACTTTTCCACCATTTATTTTAAAATGAAATGAATGGCTCACTTGACGATTTCTTGACTTAGCCGGATCGTCAGTGCGTTTTCTTTTGACAGCTGTTTCTTTTGTTTCCGAATGATCAGCAATATAGGTTACCCTTTTGTCTCTAGTTCCAAGACCCCAGTATTCGTTGAAAATGCCCTGTCTTACATCTTCTACCAGTCTTTCACGACATTTTGTTCTACAGATTGGCAAATTTTTCATTTCTCTCTTTCGAACTTCCTTGCCTTTTGCTGTGACATAGGATTGCCCGGTGTTTTTATTTTCTGTTCTTTCTTTCCTTTTTTTTCTTGTATAAGGTCCATCTACTAATCGTTTTCTTTCAGGTTGTTTGTCTTGATCCTTGTTCGCATTCCTTCGCTTGTTTTGTTCCTTCATCTCATCACTTTCAGTAGGTATTTTTCTTTTCACTACCAGCAATGGAATATTATCATCACTGGAACCATCGGAATCTGAAGGTTCCTTGTCCGGAACATAGTCTCTATCCGCAATACTGTCGTCGCTACTGTATCCTGTTTGATTTTCTAACATATCTTCTTCTTCTTCTGATGTACCTATATAAATACATAATTACATTATTTTAAAAAGTTTCAAATCAGCCTTCAAGTTAACAATACCTTGATTATCTGCCTTTTCAGATTCCGGCTTGTCTGTCTGTCCGTTTGATGAAGGGACTTCAGGCGGAAAATTCCCATGAATTTGCCTATTAGACTGATTACGCTCTGTTTCTGATTCTAAAACTTAGAAGTTACATTTGTCGTAATAGCAACCCTTAAAAACACAGTTGGTACTCACCAAAATTCATTCGAGCGAGCTCTACTAATCTTCTGGACCTATTTGAAGCCATTTTCAAATTTAATTTGAACAAAAAAAACACGGAAACTATAAAAAAAAGAAGGCCAACTCTTTTCCACAAAACAGCTGATAACATAACCTCTTTGGTCATCAAATGGTAATAAGAGTATAAGTCGACAAAATCAGGATAGGAATAGTATAAGTCTACTTGTACTATTTGAATTTTATTAATAGTGTATAATCTAAATAGTACAATTCAACAGAATAAAATTCCTTTTAAGTTAAACTATATGGATTGAAATTGAAAGCAAAGTATTTCAAATAAATTGACTTATACTGTTTGGACCAGTCGATGTAGGAACCGAAAATATATACCAAAATGACTTGAACTCATTTTCGCAAAATTTTGACTTGTATTCGTTAGCCCACCCACCATAGATATATAAAAATCAAAGTTCACGGGGTATCCGGATATGCGCTCCAAAACCACTTATCCGATTACGATGAAACTTTGGTAGGTTGTTATGGCCATCCCAAGGAAGGTTTGTGGATAGGTTACGCATCTCGGTAAAAGAAATTAATTTTGAATTAATTATTAATTTAATTGTAAACAAACTCATTCACATTACATAACAACATAACCCAACTTTTTTTGACAGCATGAAACAACGTTGCCATATTTCATTTATTTAGGCTTGCATTCAACCGACGTAACTTTATAATTTTTTGAATTCAAGAACGGCTGGACCGATATTGAATTAATACCACGTATCTCTATATAAGGTGAATTCGATTGACCCAGATTAGATCGATTTGGGTTCAATTTAAGTGAACTTCTTCTGTCTAGATCATGTTTTTGTTGATGAGGGTGCACTGATCCAGCTTGAATCGAACACAGTGTGAAGCGGCTATAGAGGAGAGTGATATAGGCTATTTTTATCCCGAAAAAAAAAGTTCGGTTGCGTAAAACTCTGATACACTGGAACGCCTATAAACAGCTCGGGGCGCTCTGGAGTGCTTAAAATGCGTCACTGAACTCACTGGCAAGCGACTATGATATCGGATTAAAAAAAAAAAATTAAATAGAAAATCAACAACAAAATTTGAAAAGAAGTGTACCTATTATTTCAAAATGTATTTACATGCTGGCAACGCAGCGGGTCATTAGCTAGTATGATATAAAAGACAAACAACTGATTTGGTTCGGACATGTACCTATAAAGAATAATAGACACTAAAATACCCAGGCAAATTATTGAGTGGAAGCCTGGGATAAGAAGAAGACGGCAGGCCAAAAAGAAGTTGGAGAAGTGGAGTAGACGAAGAAATGAGAGACAGAGGCTTAGAGAAGGATGCCTTTATTGACAGAGACGGTTGGAGATAGCGGGAATTGGAAGACTGTAGAACGTTATAAACCGATAATTATATATATGTTTTCCTGGTACCAGTGGTACCTACATTCTATATCCTTTTCCCAAGTAGCACAGGAATGGGCAAAAAAGTGTCGGAAGACCATAAAGCGATCAGAAACCATAAGACCCAGGTAATTATATAGGTTGGGATATTATCTGATGGCATGGCAAGGCAATTCAGTATGAATTTTGTTGGTGTCTTTTTCCAAGTACTTTGCCCTGCAATATGCGCTGCTTGCAAGTGGTGTATGCATTATAGTGTGTGTTTTCGGGGATAATACCACGAGAGCTTCAAAATTACCGGTAATTTATCACGTTTGCGTGTTCTCTTTAATTTCACGAGTCCGTAGGACGAGTGAAATTTGCAAAGAAAACACGCATGAGTGAAAAATTATCTGGTCCATTTTAATGCTCCAGTGGTATTTAGAAGATTATTTCATTCATTAAAAAATAGACCAATCAGACAACGTCATTTTTTGAATAAATTTTGTTTAAATAAGTGATTATTTCACAAGAGCCTGTTTATTCGTGAATACATTTTTGTTTACCTTTTTTGACAGAATTTTGATAGAAATATTCTGACATTTTATATTAAATGGAACATAGAATAAATAGAACTCTTTGTATTGTTGGCTTCAATCCTAATTATTCAGGAAATAATCTAGCCGTATATCACTCAACCTGTGAATTTAAATGGATTAAACTATCCAAATATTTTTTGCATGATTTTGCTTTTTGGCAAATAGTTTCATGCACAATAACTTCTAAATAAAAACCCTTCGCGGTCTCGGGCTTTAATTAAGTTATCGTGCATTCAACTATTTTCCAAGCAAAATCTTGCTCAAAATATGTTAAATAGTTTAATCGATTAAATTTAAAGCTCTTGTGATATAATATATGATTATTTCATGAATGAAAATGCGAAAAATAAGGAAATATGGTTGCGAACAGCCATCCATTTATTTGTATTCATACAAATAAATGGTTGCTATCATCAACCGTATCTTTGTATCAAAAATTAGCAGGAGAACCATACATACAATAACATGGGAGAATTATCGAATGTAATACCACAAGAGGTGTCAGGATTACCGGATAATACTTTTACCTGTCACGAAACGCGTTACGCAGCAACACCATGACTCCGAAGGAGGAGTGGTATTGCTGGTAACGCGTTGAGTGTCTTGGTTTTTCATAAACTATCGAGTCCCGGAAAATTGTTCGAAAATAATTGTTCGAACGGAAAATTCTTCGAAAGGAAAATTGTTCGAACGGAAAATTATTCGAAAAGAAAATTTTTCGAAAGGAAAATTGTTCGAACAGAAAATTGATCGAAAGGAAAATTGTTCGAAGGGAAAATTATTCGAAAGGAAAATTGTTCGAATGGAAAATTATTCGAACGGAAAATTGTTCGAACGGAAAATTATTCGAAAAGAAAATTTTTCGAAAGGAGAATTGTTCGAACAGAAAATTGTTCGAAAAGAAAATTGTTCGAATAAAAAATTGTTCGAAAGAAAAATTGTTCGAATGGAAAATGGTTCGAATGGAAAATTGTGCCTCGGAAACGTAAATCCACCAAAAACGTGAAAAACCTTTTTTTAATAAAACAACAGCTCGAAATTTAGATTATTTTTGAATCTCCGATTGCTTGCTTCGCTCACCGAATCTCAAAGAGAAGATCCGCTGAACCGTAAATTCGACGTTGGTAGCGCAGCTCAAAATCGAGCTGACAAAAGGGCGCAGGTCAAAATATTATTGGCAGTCAGTACATTTCTAACCAGTATTAAATGAACTGAAACGTAACTAACCAAAAATATGCAAACTAACCCAAACTAACCCGTCCACGTAATGCGTGCTAGTCCTTGTATGTTAATATTGAATTTAAAAAACCAAGCGCCTACTATTGTCAAGCAGTACACTTTTGACCAGTATTAAACGAACCGTAACGAAACTAACCAAAAATATATAAACTAGCCCAAACTAACCCAAAAAAGTGCAAACTAACCGAAATTAACCCGTCCACCTAATGCGTGCTAGTCCTTGTATATTAGTTCCAGTTAGTCCCCACCCTGTTATACCGGGTGCCCACGAGATTACTTTCCGGCTGTCATTTTTTTATTTGTTCATCGATATTAACGAAACTTGGTAGGGTTGATTTTTTAACCAAACGCCATGTTTATGCATCTATGACAAGTTTTCCTGACTTCCGGTTCCACCGGAAATCACCGGTACCTACTTTTTATTTTTAAATGGCACATCCTGTATATTTTTTATTTTTCGGATTCTACAGATCGTTTTACGTCCTAATGTACCACTTTTAAATCTGGTTTTGTCCAAATTTCGTTTTCAAATTGAATTTTAAGTAGAAAAAATTGTTATTTACCTAACAAGTGCGGAAAGTGGTACTTTTCCGCACGAGACGGCAGTTGCACGAACGACGCGGAGCGGAGTTCGGGCAAGCCGTCGCACTCAGTGCGGTAAATAATCTTTATTTGCAATCATATATGTAATCTTGTCATTACTGACTTTTTAAAAATTTGGAAGTGACACTTTACCTGTGTCACTTCCCTCTTCGATTTCCCTCACCGATTTCCCTATTCGACTTCTCTCACCGATTTCCCTCACTCTAATTTATTTACCTTTGCTGGCAACAATGAGAACATGTCAGGTAAAAACGTCAAAGCAGTGAATGACACATTTTGGCATGTTTATATTTTATTTTTTTAATATTAAGAAAATTAATTGATCATAATTAATGGTGTGCTTGCAAATAAAATAGTATACAAACCTCGGAGGAAAGTTTTCATTTCTGTCAGTAATGAAACACTTCCCTACTCGGTATGTAATATACTATTACCGCACTCAAAATTTTTATGACAAGAATTTGGTTAAAAGTCTGTCTTGGTGGCATTTGTCAAATCTGCTACGTTGCATTTTGTTTTTCCCATAGCAACAAATCAATATTATAATTTGCGTCTATAGATACTACATGGAAAGTTCAAATAGGTTCGTGTTTTGTGGTTCAAATTTTCCATTTTTCGGTATAACATAAATTCTTGAGAGATGGAGACCTTCGATGAAGAAATATTCGAAGCAGCGAATGCAGCAGCCGGCTCGTTGATTCCACAAAAATCCCAGGACCGGCACAATAAAGAATATGAACAATGGAACTTTCTCATTTTACCTGTGCTGCGCGCGCCGCTTGTGGGTGACAGATAATAAAATTGTCAATTGAATGAACGCGGTCTGATGCTGACTTTCTTTAAGCTAATCTCAATTATCAATCAATATTGCTGAAAATTATTACAAAAACTGTTTATTATACCATGGTTCAAATGTGTTGTGTATGATCTTGTCAGAGTGAGGCGGAAAAAAAGTCAAATCTTTCTTTTCACAAGTTCTCAAGCAATCAAAATGTAAGAAAACAATGGTTACGTGATCTCAACCTGACTGAAGACGATTAAAGTTGGAACAGAGATTTGAAGGTTCGTAAAATAACGATTTCTATATCAAATACAATGATAATTGTACAATTAAAGGTTTGCTAGCACTTGCAAATTCGTACTTCTCAAACTCAAACTTGTCATTCCACACAGGT